GGTCAGCTGTCACTGGAAGATACTCCCAGCCATCAGTTGCCCCTTACCTAGGACTCTAGATTAAGAATTCCTGAAGTGATTTTATGTGGTGAGATTGTGGCTTTCCAGGAACTATAGAAATTCTTTTTATTCTGTAGTATGGGCTTGGGAGGACCCTGCAGGTAGGGGGCATGGAGAAAAGGGCTGAGTGTGTTAGAAGGAATAATGTGGAGCTCACGTGAAGACATGAACTCGGGCCACAGAAGCCCATGAAAGCCAAGTGTCATCATTTCTACTTAATGTCACAGGCTAGTAGTCTTTATTTTGGGGTGCAAGCAGGTAGGCAAAATGGTGGGAAGTCCTATAGTGGTGGTGTGCAGTGCTACATCAAGATGGTGTGTGAGACAGGTGAATACAGCTACATTACTCCTGATAGTATCTTGGAATAAATTGGTGAGGCCTGGGCCCAGGAGCATTCCAGAAAGGTCAAGTGTGCACAATTAGGAAGGACAAAAGTTTTGGATATAGGGAATAAAGCTTTAGCATAGTTAAGCGACATTTTGGTTCCTGGTTATCAAGAAATCATAACTACAAGAAAATTGTGGATGAAACAGAGCATTGGAGGCTCCTGAGAGCCCGCCCTTCCCCACTCCCCTGCCTCCTTGCTATTCTGCACCATTTCTACTTCCCATCACTTTATTTTCCTAAGATCCCTTTTATGTATTAAAATACTTCTTTTTGTGAATTTCTGTTGAAAGTGTCTATTCCCCAGAAAAATTCACATATATAATTCTAGCACCATTTCAGGGTAGTCCATAGATACTTCCAGCATCCTAAATGAAGCTTGCTTATGTCCCGGGGTAAGAATTCCTGGTGTGATAACTATTTTATGATGGGGGTGAGGTTGGCTCTGACTAAAAATCCTTTGACTTTACTGCAATCTCACAAAAATATATGTTCAGAATAGCAATCTACCATCATTGAATTGGAATTGAGCTCATGGCTTCTTTGTTGGCACAAGACCAGCTTTTATTACGTGTCAGTGATGCTAAGTGTCATTGATGTTAAGGCTTGGTTGGTCCTTTTTTTTCCCCCCTGCCTGAGCTACAAACACCAAAACTTAGGAGCAAACTCTATTCCTTTGGAAAGTGCTGTGATTCTAATCCTGTTCTGCTGAGGCAGTGGGGGTGATTTAACATACTTATCTGCCTTTGAAAAGTTGATGGGGTTTTAGTTGCCAGTGGGAAGTCTGTAGCATCTCATACATGAGAATTTCCAACTTTACCATCTAAGGATGTTTTGCAGTCAACAAAGCTGATCTTCACCCTGTTTATTCCAGGAAAAGGTTCCTATTGTTAAGGGCAGCTCCTTTCTAACTGGCTTATGGCCTGGCTTTATCACCTATTAAATGTTTCAAATAGCCCCCTGGGGCAGGCAATGTTATTTTCTCTACTTCACAGATGAGGAAATAAGGTAAGAGTAAGGAGAATGGTGACAGAGGCTCTGAGAGTTAGGATAGAACTCAGGACTTCTGGCCCCAAAGCTCCTGTTCTTGACCACTGGACTTACGGTTTCACATTTGGGACAAAAGAAATTAAGTGAAGTTGGGAGGAAAGGTAGGGCAGGCATTCCTGGAATTACCCGAGACATTTTAAAAAAGAAGAAAGGGGCGGGGCGGGGAGGGGAGAGTGTTTTCCAGTGATCTGAATGAGGTTCCTCTCCTACACTGTAGCTTCTGGAAGCAACGTAGAAAGCTGAGTTTCACCCCTTTTCTACCCTGGTACCCCTTTGTATGTACGAGAACATAGGCCCTTATTTCCTGGCTGGTGCTGATTTCTGTCCATTATTGACACCACTGGTCTTTGTGCTGCTGCTTCTTGGAGAAGAAAGCTTCTGAAAGGAGCAGGCTGTGTTCTGCCCCACTGCTTCCTTTCTCCTGGCTGGCCTGAGTGCCAGCCTGCCTTTGTGAGAAAGCAGCTATTAAGCAGACACAGCAGGAGGAGTTTAGAAGTCAGGAGTTTCATTCCTTGCTTAATGAAAAGGGATGGTGAGCTTTGGTTTTGCAGCCTGCAGGGAGACTGTGGGGTGGGGAGTTGGTGTTTGCTCTGTGGAGCAGGTATCAGGGGAAACAAACATGCTACCTGCCCAACGTCCCAAGTCTCAAGACAGAGCTCCTGAAACCCATCCCAGAGAAACTGGGTTGTGTGAGCCATAGGGAGCCCCACTGAGAAGCAGTGACAGGACAGCAGAGCAGGACCTGCCCTTTTGCATTTGCCATCCATCCTGCCCAGCTACTAGTGGACAGTCATTATCTGCCCTTAGACTTCTAGTGCTGAGATGTAGCCCTTTGACAGGGAACCCACTTTTAGTGTTTGCTCTTTGTCTCTTTGAGGTACATGAGTGAATTTCTACACTGGCACTTCCCCCCAGTTACTCCCTCAGGGACACTCTTGTTGTGGCATCAGGTTGAGGCAGGTCTTCTGGGTGAAGCTAATAGCCCCAGGTCATTTCAGCAGCAACACAGAACAGGTACCAGAGCAACATCAGCATAGGGAAGGGGAGACCAAGCTGAATCACACCATTGAGTCAAATTTCTCAGCATCACTCAAGCTTTCTAGCTGCGCCTGTATAGTATTTGCACTCAGAAAATGAACATTTTTTTTGTACCTAGAATTTATAAGTTCCAATTTTGCCTCTATTTTCTTAAGAGCTGACACTGAAAATTGGTTCTCAGGTTACTATATTTGATATTACAATACTATTTAATTGCTGCTTTTTGAATGTACCTGAAACTGATCAAATTTCACTTTGCAAATTTATTCCAAAATTTACACCTGAATGCAAATAGGTATCTAATAAAGCCCTATGGCCAAAGTAGAGCATTGATTTAATATTAGGACTTAATTCTGGTTTGTATGTTTTTAAATGTCAGACTATTACCATGTTCTCTAGTTTGGGGTTTTATGTTTTTCCCTTTGGTTCACAAAGAGAAAATGGTTTAATCTTTGTTAAATCCTGGATTTCTGTTTATGGCACTTTGAGCTTGGAGCTACTTTGGGATCCTAGAACAAAGCAGAATTTTAGTTTGCTACCCACTGTTTTTGCCTTGAGAACCTCTGTTTTCTAACTCATAGGTCAGACTGTTCCTTTTTTCCCAGTAGTTTATGACATACTCTCCAGCCCCTAGGAGAGGCCAGGAGTTCAGCAGTGCTATAACATGAGCCAGTCTGTTTATAGGGCAGATGCACTTACTTTGGTTGTCCTTGATAGAAGGGCATAAGGCCATAGGTATTTTATGCCCCCAAAGGACCTGCAGAAAACTTAGCAGACCTGCCTTTGAAAGGTGGTGAGTTACAGTCGGGGGCAGAACTTGCCATGCCCCACAGAGGCTTTGTTCCCACACTGCTCTTTTGATTTTATGGGAGCAAAATGGGAAGAGCCTGTTAGTGGCAGAGGGTGTAAAACCAGGGTTTTGGATGGTGGAAGGATGGTGGAAGGGTTAAATCTGCGGCTGCCTTCCAACCACCGGTCTCCCATCAAATGCGTCTGCTCATCCTGTACCCTTAGCATGCAAATCCCAGGGCACCTGCGGGACAGGACATGGAGAATCAGCCTGTTGTGTGTGATCCTTGAAAGCTTCCACGAATGATAAACTAATGACTAGATAAAATTGTTAAAGGAAAAAGTCTGACCCATTTGCAGTTTCTAAAGCTGACGCCCCTGATTCAAATTCAGGAGGAACCTTACAATTTGAGGGATTTGGGAATGTTTTCTTTCCTTTAGCAATTCAGAATGAATGGATACCATCTTTTTTTCTTGTTAAAGATTCTGTATTTTGATCTCTTACCCTCATCATGGCATGGAAAATAGATAATAAGGGAAAGCATTTGTTTGTTGTTTTTGAAAAGAAGACAGAAATTTCAAATCAGTGGAGTGAAAGACAGCTCCCCTGGGATGGAAGAAAGGGTGAGGGATAGAGGATAAAAACCCAAGTATGTACAAAAATGACAGCTCTACTTTGCACTGAGTGACACCCACCCCATTTGTTTTATGTGTTTGATTTAGAAAGTTAGAGCCTAGAAGTAATCGCTGCAGGTCTGTGTCCTCTGCTTCAGGTGGTTGAGTGAAGAAAGGTAAAAATATGGTGGCTATATGAGGACCCAGCACACTGACCCTGCTCTGGGCTTGCTCTACTCTCCTGAAAGGCTAGTCCATGGAGCAGGCATAGCCCTGGATCACTGTTTCTCAATCTCTTAGCTCAAATATATCTCCTGCTTGGGTCTGCAGGCTGGACATAGGAAGGTCTTATCTAATAGTGCGATGACTTTTATTCCATGATCCTTCACTGTCACATGGACTGATCATACACAGGCTTCTTGTTAGACTTCTGTCCCTGAAGCTACCACTCAAGGGATTAGGAGATAAAAGGTAGGAGAATGAAGCAAACGAACCAGTGGTCAGATGTGTGATAGAGTCCCTTGCTAATTACAACTTGAAACTGATTGAAAATGAGACTTAATGTCAGTTGTATATATTTGTTAATTTCCCCCCCACTGGTAAATGACTGTTCTGTAAGATACTGCTTCATTCAGGGCAACTTATCTTTTTACCTGGGAGGAACTTATTTCCATTAGCATTGGCACACTAGCTACATATCTCACATTTAGAATGTTTCATATGATTAAACTCAAACACTGTTTCTGAGGTGTGCGTACTCTTCCAACTGGCTCTTCTTTTGTGTTATAACAATGCCTTTAATTTGGAAACAAGTTAGGGAGCTCTTTCTGATTACTAGGCATACTGTTAGCGGAAACTGGCAGCCAAGGACTGGTAACTGGCTTAATAGAGGCACAAGCTTGTGTTCTCGCCACCAAACACTATTGCAGAGGCTGGCCGCTCAGCTATGTGTAGTGGATTTGTGTCCTGATAGACCCATGTTTCTTCTCTTGTTCTCCTACCCACCCGCGCCCTCCCAGTGTGATTTGTATTAATCGTCATCATTTCTTTTTCTTCCTTTACAGAGCTATTAAGAATGGCAAAGGATTGCACAGCAAGAAAGAGGTGCCCATCCACCGTGTTGCAGACATCTCGGGGGTGAGTTCTGTCCCTGGCTGGAGCTGTGTGGCTCAGAGGCACCAAGAACTTGGCCGCCTATTCTCCAAAAGACTTCAGCTTATGTGTTTTCAGTAGCTCGTTTGATATCGGGCACTAATGGTGAATTTTTTCTAGGACTTCTGTTTAGGCATCTATAGAGATCCTGTTTTAGATTCTGGAAAAGCAGAATTCAAGCTAGGGTATAAAACCTCCTTCTGTCTCTTCACCTCAATAGTGACGAGTTCACAGTATGCCTGTGTTGCTTTTCTATTCAAAAGTCCTTATGAATTGGAAGATACTCCCATGTGTATTAAAATGAAATTGTCTCTTTAAAATCTTTGTTTGATTCTCACTAATAGTGGAAAACGTAATGGAAAGATTGTGAGGAAAGGCCACGTGTAGGTTTTAGGACAAGTTTAAAGAATCATAATTTCCACATCACTTTCTCCTCTAGTTGCCTGTAGATGTCAGAAATGAGTGTGCCTCTTCTTAATACTAGATAGAAATATTGTAGAAAATTGGATGACAGCAATAATTTTGAGCTAAAAAGGCTATTTCCAAATGACTGTTTAATGATTAGGACGTCACACTTGCTCATTTGGCATCTCTTTGGGGCCAATAGATGGCTTTGTTAGTTGAGATAGTTCATGCAACACCTGTTTATTGAGTGTCTACTGTGCCAGAACCTACTGTAGGCACAGAGAAAACAGCAATGAACAAAACTGATGAAGTCCCTACATCAAGAGGCGAAAGGAGACCTAGCAATGTCAGGTAGCAGCAGCAGCAACTGCTGTGAAGACAAGTAAAACCAGCCAAGGGGCAGTGAGTGGGTCACATGTTGATTGTGGTCAGGTGACCAGGGACAGCCAGCTTATGAGCTCATCAATTCTCTGTTTCTGGAATGTGCACCATCTACTTCCACTCCCATAGTCACTAACCATCAAGGGGTCATCCAGGTGATATGTAGGGGGGACCACATAGCCCTGAGGAGGGGAAAGAGAAAGGGCTCGTAAATCTTGGACACTCAAGGAATGTGCCTTGGGCACTGAAAGAGAACTACATAACACAGACTTCCAGCACAGCCCACAGCCGTGATGAATGAGAGCATATTATCTTCCTCCTCAGTTGTGTTCCCAAGCCTGGCTAAGGGTTTGCCTGTTGGTTCTTGTGGTTGCTGATTATAAATGTGTGGCCAGCTCACCTTTGCCTAGGTATGGTGGCCACCAATTCATTTTAAGCAATGGGATTTTGTTGAGTTTTCTTTATCTGTCGCCAGTGAACCACAGATAACAGATTAAACAGCTTTACCGACATTAATTGGACTTCCATCAGCAAGTTGTATCTCTGTTCGATGCTCAAGACACCTTGAGAAACATTGTTTGTACCCACTAATCCTGAGCACCCCAGAAACCTGATGCTAATGGCCTTTGAGCCGCGGGTGTGTCTGCTGCAGCTCATTGTTAACAGGCATGACTCCCAGTGAAATGAGAGCTGGCTGGCTTTCTCTGTGGCTCACCCTGCGGAGTTATTATTTACATATACATTATGAATTTCCATATGTATCTGCTGCGCCATTGTCAGCAGTATTTTCCTTAATGCCATTCTTTTAGTGAAGAAGTTGGAACAATCAAAGGGCAGTTTTTTAACTGTTCAACTGCAGGGGGAAAACAGTTTTAAATATCTGTTTCTGGAGAATTCAGTGGAAGGCTCTTTTACCGAGGATCATCCAAATGCACATCAGATAGACACTCCAGAACCTTCCAGCATGTCTGTGAACTTGAGGCGCGCTGTCTTCTTGGCACCACCAGCATGGTATCCCGGGATCTTTATTGCTACCTTGACACAATTTCTTATTTTTTTTGTCTCTCGTGGCCTTGGGCCTTAGGAAACCTTGATTTTGTTTTTTTACCCCTCCTGAACATTAGCCCAGTTTCATACATATTTATTCCCTTTTCTGTCTGGATATTGGAGAATTAGGTTACTCTTAAGTTATTTAAAAATAAATGCCAGTTAAATCTCCCTTGGTTACCCCATAAATAAAAGAGGAAGGCTTGAGCAAGTGAGAGAGTGAAAGGGAAAAAGCTATTCCATTTAAATAGATGTCAGGATGACCTTGTCTTCCTTCACGACACATTATTCAGTTTAGATCGCAGGGGTATTTTCGGTGCCCTCTGTAATCGAATATAGTCTCCCCCTTTTAACCTAACCTTCTTTCTTAACAGTGTGGTGTTAAGTGTGTTTCCATGTTGGGTACCCTTGTGCCATTTAAGTGAGGTATATGGGTTTTCAGCTCCCAGCAACATCCGGCAATGTCACTGTCTGCAGGACGGGTCGGCTCAGGTAGTCAGACAAGCAAACGGATGAAGACAGAACCCCTGGAGTAAAGGTGGCCTAGTACACCCTACGTAATGGCTTCATAAAGGTTTCTTAATCTTTTTTTAATCTTGTGCTGTGTCCCCCACGCACGCATTGATCCCCCTTTTAGTTGCAGGGCATGATAAATGAAAGTTTCTGTTGTACTGACAGTACATACAAAAGACTGCCAAAAGAATTTACTGTGAACTGGTATTTGTGCATAATTCCTGCCCCACCCTAATTCACATCCTTAGGGGGGACAAAAGACTCACATTTTATCTCCTGAACACGTTCAAGGTACATCCTGAATAGAAGAGGTTTTGTTGTATTAGTGAAACAAGTAACTTGTAAATTTGTTGTCATCTTAGGGTCTTCCACATTTTGGAGGTGAGTTTCTCCCCAGTGTCCTTATCTCTTCTCTTAGATTTTCAAATGCAAATTTCAGTGGGTAAAGGTCAAGAGTGTATATTTTTTAAAAAGTGCATTAACTTATTTGACCTCAGCAAGTGCAGGATATGCTTGGTGATGGGGGAGGTATTTGATCCAAGCACAGGAGTTTGAGGGTGACTACCTGCTTTGGCAAGTGGGGCACCAACCTCTGTGATGACTAAACAGGCAGGGCTTTTCCTGCCCATTGATCAGCTCTCACTGGGACGGGCCTGAGCAGGGCAGTTTTTAGCTACTAAACTCATTTTTCCTAACTTTACACCTGCTGTTCCAGCTGTGCCTCCTCCACTCCTTCCCATATGGTCACTTCTTAACATAATGACGTTTCAAAAATATTATGATAGCTTCAACTTTCAGGTTTTGTTTTTTGTTTGTTACTGTCGATGATTCTTGACATTAATGTCATATCACTGTTTGGTTTTCCATAAGGTTCACAAAATCCGTGTGTCAAGCCAACTGCATGAACCCCACCTTTTGGCTGGGGCTTTGTTCAACCTGAATCTTACTACATCAGTTTTCAGGGTAGCTGCGAGAGAAGTCAAGGAAATACTGCGGTTTGGTTATTTGGATCACAAAGAACTTCCTAGTCACCTTTATTTCTAGTTTTTCAAAGTGTGACAGATGTGGGGGGTCACAGGTACTGCCTCGTGTAGTCCCTTCACTAGCAGACTGGTTTTCCTTCAGGTGAGGATGATGTCATGAATGTGAAACCAACTAAGAATTTGACCAGTGGGACACTAGATCTGATTTGATTTCGAGGCAGGTTCTGCAGTGACTGCTTCATTCCAGTACATCCACGTTTGCACTGGGGAGCATTGTTTTCCCTTGATCCCATCTCCACTCCCTCCCTTGCAGACGTACAAAAAGTGAGAATGTGCATGTCAGTGGAATATAAGGCTGTTCCCTTATCTTTGCTTTATTATTGTTTTTGCTGCAGTCTGCTCTGTAATAAATACAATCTCCTGCAGATATAGGGTAATATAGGCAATGAAATGGGGCTGGTGCATGACTTACGATTGCTCTGGTAAATCAGACAAATCAATTATGGTTCTGAGATGCAACCCCTCGGGTTGCAGCCAGCACAACCGACTTCTTCCTGCGCCTCCCTCCACGCCTTCTTTTTCCACTTGTGCGGGAGTAGGACTCAGTGAGTCATAGTGTCTGTCCCACTCTTTCTCTGTTTCCTGTTGTCTTTGTTCTTTCCTCTCTGGTACACGAGGAGATGATGATGTTTGTTCCTTTGTTGATGGCACCACTAGAGGGTACAACCTCAACCAGCCTCCAGCTCGTTCCTCTCATTTCTAAAAGTCCCAGGACAGATTGCTGGAATGAGGTTGTCCTGAACATCCTTGACTTTTTATGACAACTCATTTGTTAATTTTGCTGTTGTTCACTCTGTACTGCTCTCCTCCTTTTCCATCATGAAAGCCTTTTTTTTGTTAGCTGCTGCTGTGCTCACTTGGATTTTGGTTTCTTGCTCGGCTTTACACACTCATTCTTTTTGTAAACTCCTCTATCCATGGCCAACATTGTTGGGCCAGCATAGTGTTACTGATAAAACTGTGTGAGTCAAGACTAACGCTGGGGATGGGCAAGTGTGGAGAGGAGAGACGTAGTCAGATTTTTGGGGCCCTTTTATATCACGGATTATATCATGAATAGAAGACTTGCAGAGCTGACCAGCGAGATTCTGACTTGCAGATAAAAGAATCCAAGTGTTCCTTTGAGGAAGGAAGGTGGCAAGTATATATGTAGAATTTTTTCTAGACTATTCTGCCATTTGCCTTCAGTTCCTGATTTTCCACTGTGTTCTTGAACCTGAATAGCATTGTCCTCTTTGCTTCAGGGCACTTGAAGCAGTCCTTCCTAGAGAGAATTGGAGACCATTACAAAAGTTTTCTTTCCTTAGCTCCCAATGAAGTTGGGCCTCAGTGGAAGTTTGAAAAATAATTTTTGCTAAAGAGAAATAAAAAAGTGGTTTCCTAGTAAGCCCAAAAGAGGTAAAAACCCATTCACCTAGGGAATTTATAAATTAGGCCTGTGTTAATTACAGTTTTCCTTTCATGTCTTCCGATCCACTCGTTTAGATTTTTTTTTTCTTATTCTCATAAAATTTGAAAGTTCCTTTCTGCCAACTCTCTGTTCTTTCTAATCACTGATAATTTGGTAGCACAAATGCTCCTTTCACTTTGTTCATT